CGGTCGGCGGACAATGCGGCCGGAGGAGACCCGCGCGGCGCGAGTGGGGCAGGGCGGCGCGCGCGTGGCCGAGTGTGTATGTGTGTTCCTGTCAGTCAAAGCTGACAGGCCACGGCCCATTGGCCAGGCCCCTCCTCTCATCCCCGCCCATGTCCTTTGCCCATTGGTCGGTTTGAACACAAAGGCCCCGGCTCGCCCCGCCCTCCGCGTGGGCCCAGCGGCCCAGCTTGCCCAGCCCCGGAGTCCTCTCGTGGGATGCGCGCGGCGCGCTGCGACCCCTGGATCTCGGGAAGACACGGCACTATCGGCTTTGGGGCTGGGGTTCGGCTGGTCCTCTATGCACAAGACTCGGGGTCTTTTGTACCAAAACACTTTTGAGACGCAGCGAGCGCGCCCTGCGCCCGGTGCCGGGACCCTAAGGACATTTGGGGCTGGGGGCACCGAGTCGCCCTGGCTGCCCGAGGGGGAGGTAGGAGACCCAGGCCTACGACCTGGCAGGGGGTAGTGCTCCGTTAGACCCAGAGTAGGCTTGCAAAACGCCAGGCACTTACACAAGTACTGTTTTTGACATTTCTACACCCATTTTAATGACAAGAAAACGCTATGTTTTGGAGAGGTTTTTAGCTCTTTGCATTGCACCACACAGAAGAAACAGCGTTAGGGTTAGAAGATTCCCTATAGAATCCAAACCTGTGGTTTTCCTTGCTGGTGTTTTTCTATTTGGGGCTTGATTTTAGGATTCCAGGCACAGCGAGAGGGCCCCAAGTACCAAGAACCTCCGAGTTTCACAACAGCTTTTCCATTTGAAGGGATACTTTTGCCACCACTGATACCAGAGAAGTCAGGGTTGGCTGCCTGTTCTGCCTGCCCATGGGCTGAGCCCAGTGCCCGGATGCCCAGGTCAAGTCCCTTCCCTCCCAGCCAGCATCTGTACAGGTGCAGGGTTGGGGAGAAGGCACTTCCGGTGCAAGGCCTTTTAAGCGAAGAGGAAACCAAGAGCTTTATTTCACTTTTAAAGTACAGTACCAAGAGGAAACAAGACAAGAAGTGCCAAAAGAGAGGACAGAAGCAGGCACAGGAAGGTACTGGGGGTGGGGGGCTGAGGAACCGTCAAGCCCTCCTGCTGAGTTGCTCCCGACAAAGTATTCTGGGCCTCCACTGTCCGTCCTGGAATGGGGGTGTCCCTTGCCATTATAGTACCTGAAGACAACGATGCTCAGGCTTGTTGGCGGGGGTGGGGTGGGGGGGACACTTTTGGTCTCAGACAGCTAGGATGCTCCCCATTCTGTCTTGGCCAATTTCAGTGGAGTCTCCACACTCCACTTTGCAGAAACAGTGCAGAGACAGCTTCGCCCCACTCCAAAGTTCCCAGCAAGACTCATGTCCACCAGCTGGCTGGGGACGCCCCTCTTAAACTGTCCTGACTCTGTAGACCTGTAGGAGGCAGAGCAGTGGTCCCCAAAGGTACCAGATTCAGGTTCTGCAATAGTGTGTTACTGAGATGGAAAGATTTAGCAAGGGTGATTGAAGATTCCAAAGTGGAGATTCAGGGGATTCATCCTACAATCCTAGGCATCCTCTGCAAAGACAGAGAAGAGAGGGCAGTGTGACCCAGGAGGCAGAGACTGAGTGATGTGGCTGTAAGCCAAGTCCTGCTGACAGCCACCAGGAGTTGGCAACGACTAGGAAAAGATCTTCCAGAGGAGCATAGCCCTGGTCACACCTTGATGATGGCCCAGTGATTCTGATTTCAAATTTCAGGTCTCAGAACTGTGAGAGAGCCAGGCCTGGTGGTGCATGCCTGTGATCCCAGAAATTGGGAGGCTGATGCAGGAGGATCATTGGGAGTTCAAGACCAACCTAGGCTACAAAGTGAGCTCAAGGCCAGCCTGAACTGCACAGAGACCCTGTCTCAAAAAGACAAAAAAAAAAAAAAAAAAAAAAAAAAAACCAAAAAATCAAAAAAAAAAAAAAAAAAAAAAAAAAAAAAAAAAAAACCCTGTGAGAGAATACACTTTTGTTGCTTGAAGTTACCAAGTTCGTGTTAAGTTGTTACAATAGCCATGGGAAGCTAACAAATGACCCTTGGAAAACTTTTTTTTTTCAGGTACCGGGAATTGAACTTCATGACCTAGCGCTTGCCAGGCAGGCGCTTGTGCCGCTGAGCTACATTCCCAGCCCCCAACCCTTGGAAAACTTTTGGTCTCGGCATACAAGGCTCTTGTGATTGTGCCAAGACCCTCTTTCTCTTCTGATCATCCTCACTGATACCCCACGTCAGACTTCCCAGATGACACACAGATCCTTCTGCTCATCTCTTCCGCCCTTTCCCCCTCCTCGTCCTCCCACTCTGTGTCTCTTCCCCGCTTCTCTGCCCTGCAGCCATGCAGCAGGCTGCTCTTCTCCCCGCTGCCTCTTGGTTCCTTCGCTGCCCTTTCCTTTCTCATCTTTTTCTGTGAATGGTGGGGCAGGGGGCGGCTTTCTCTGGTTAGCCTGCATCTCAGTGGCTGATACGTGTGGCCATCAGACCAGGGGCATATTATGGCTGTCTCCCTTGCTTTTGACCCTGGGTGAGTCACTTAACCTCTCTGAGCCATTTTCCTTATTCACAAAAGGAACTAATGATCCCAGCTGTCCTGTCCGCCTTGGGAAAGTCAGCGAGGCTCTCTGGCCTCCCTTTCTTTGCATGTGAGGTCAAGTGAGGACAAGAAAGTGGACAGCCTCCCAATACTACCCATCCACCCGTGGGCTTTGGGGGAGGACAGAGAAGGGGACATCAGATCTGTCTTGTACCCACAGGGAAGGTCAGATGGCTCTTCTCTGCTTCCAGAGACCAGGACCTGCCCGTTCCACCTACATAGCTGGAGAATGAGCTGTGTCCTGCTCTGTCCCTGCCCACGGCCATGTGGCCAGTGACAGGTTCATAGTGGGTGCTCAGGATGCTGTGGCCTTGCAGCCAAGGCCACCTCCTCTACTGGCCCCCTACCCCCACCGTCAGCATCAGTCAGCAGCCAGGGTGGCAGTGGCGTCTGTCATTAACCATCACAGGCAGCCCTTTGCGGGGGTGGCGACTTTCACATCAGGCTTTCTGATGCGGCTCTCAGGGGGCGGTGACCTTGGAGGAGCATGGTGCCCCCAACCCCTGGGGGCTGTTTCTCTGCTTCCTGGGGCTCTGATGTGGGCTGCTGCTCCTGCCCAGGCCTGCTCTGGGATAGGGCTCTGTGTCCGCAGGCTTTCATCCAGGGAGCTCAAAGGCCAGTCACCAGGCAGCAGCTCAGTTAAGCTTGTTTTATGGACGAGTCCAGCTCCAGGAAAGAAGGGCTGTGGAATCAGGTTACAGCCGGTCAGCTGGGGCCGGGGACAGAACGCAGGTCCCCGATGAAGCCGGGCACTCCCAGTCACGCGGAGATTGGCCTAGACTCTGGTGGATGACTGTGCCTTAGTCATCTCTGTCCCCTGTGCCCATTATAGTGCCCAGCTCCTAATAAATGCTCAATAAACATGCAGCTCCCCAAACTTCAGTCACAGACGCTTTCCCCGGCATGACCTCCAATGCAGACCCACAGGCCTCGCCTGTACCCACAGAGCCTTGCCCACTGCCGAGCCTTTGCTCAGCCTGTGTGGTGGCCTGCCCTGCCCTTTCCTGTCCTTCGCCCGATGGCATCCTGCTGGCCATCAGCACAGTGCTGCCCAAGTAAAGGAAAGGCCTGGACAGCTGAGTGCTCAAGAGGAAAGTGCTGGCCCGAGGCCTTTGAGGGCAGGGCTCTAGGACCAGATCTCAGGGCCAAAGTCACAGGGCTTGCCTGATGCCCGTGGAGGTGGTCTGTCCATCCTGGAAACAGACTTCGCTTCTGGGAACATCCATCAGCCACTTCACCTCCATGGCGGCACTGCGGGGGCCTGTGGGTCAGAGCCAAGCTTTAGACTTGAATTTTCCCGGTGAGCAACCCTGCGGGCAGGTTATTTGGCCTTCCCTGGCCTCCATCCTTGTCTGTGAAATGGGGATGCTTAGGAGCTTGGTACATGGTATGGGCTGGGTAAGTTTGCTCAGTGCTGGTTTTTTTCTTTTTAAAATAATCACCGATTTATTCCACTCATGCTCCTTGCAGGCCTGTTCTGACAATGGGAGATGTGACCCCATTGCCCAAGGGCTCCTGGCTGGTGCAGGTCACTAGAGCACTTCAAGATGTACATCCTAGTAGGGTCACTGGGCTTTAAGAATCCCCTACAGTCGGGGCTTCAGTATGACTTTGTGGCATAAAAATATTTTTAAAAATTCCCTCCCTTCTGGGCATGGTGGCACACACATGTAATCCCAGCACTCGGGAGGCTGAGGCAGGAGGATTGTTGCAAGTTTAAGACCAGTCTGGGCTACAAAGTGAGCTCACGGCCAACCTGAACTGCACTGCAAGACCCTGTCTCAAAAAGACAAAAAAAAAAAAAAAAAATTCCCTCCCCCTGTACAAAATATTTAAAATTGTACTTTGTGACTGTACAAAAGGTGAACATATCCAGGTTTGATTATATTGATTTTTTTTCTTCTGATTAAAAAAATAATTACAACATTTCATGGTCCTGTGCTTGGTAGAGAGTCAGTCTGTCCATGGCTGTAATGAGCAGACTTAGGGAGCCGGGAAGCTGCCACAGAAAGTGACCTCTGGGCAAGAAGAGGAGCTGGGGAAGACAGGAGCGCAGAGAAGTGGGCCTGTCAGCGCAGGCCTGGAATCCCAGCTATTTGGGAGGCTGAGGCAAGAGGCCGGAAAGATGGCGGCTGACATAGACAATTCAGTGAAACTAAAATTTTTTTTTTTTTTTTTTTGGTTTTTCTCCGGTACCGGGAACCGAACTCACGACCTTGCACTTGCCAGGCAGGTGCTTTGCCGCTGAGCTAAATCCCCAGCCCCTAAAATTTAAATAAAAATTAAAAAAAAAAAACCACTTGCAATTCCAGAGACAGGAGGATCACTGAAAGTTTAAGGCCAGCCTGGGCTACATAGTGAGTTCAAGGCCAGCCAGAACTACTTGGTGAGATCCTGTCTCGAAAATCAAAAACATAAAAGTAAAATACATAAAAAAAGAAAGCCAGGGATGTAGT